TTGCGACGATTTGTGCATCATCGCGCACGTACTTCACAAGGTGCTCAAACTTCTAAGGTAAGCTTTCAAAATCTCGGATTCTTGAGTGTCTTTATTTATCTTTCTATGATGTTTTTGAAGGTGAAGAATATTGGGACAATGATGCCCTTTTCCTGACAAGTATTTTGAACAATCGGAAAAGCATGTCCGAAACCCCCGAGGCAAAAAGGAAATAGTAATGAGAAGAAGTTGTGAGAAAGGATAAAAGAATAAAATAGCTTTTAGCGCGGCGAAATTTCTGGATGCGATGTATCTTTTATTCAGAACAAGAAGGCAGTTGAACGTGGAATGGTCTGCGTAATGCCGTAGGGTCTTGTTGTTTTTGTGGGTCGTTCTGAGGTAAACATAGAGAGAAGTCTGCGCCGTACCACAGGTCATTAGACTTGAAGTTTAGAGGCTCTTTTCTTATTCCTATTTTAGTTCCTCTGCAAAAAAAAACGTATTTGCAGCCTAAGTTATGGTGTGGAACAAGACGAGGACCTAAACGCGCGACCTGATCTTTTCAACTGTAAGAATGATGTCAGGAGAGATCTAGTGTTACTCTTTTCGCCCTTTCTGGGTTCATCCTTTCTATATTGCGGTATTATGTCTGTTGGCCCATGCGTCAGAAAGGAGTAAGGCGTTCTTAGTTTTCTTCGATCGATTTTTATAGTCCAGCATTATGTACGACCGATGGAGCGCTGGGAGATTGGCTGAATAGGTGGCTTCGATCCAGAGTTACCGTCCGGGTTTTAACCGCAGCGGCTTCACATTGTACATTTTGTTATAAACCGAGATCGAGAACTCATCATTACAGAGGTGCGCATTTTCTGTGGCATGCTCCGGACAAGATGAGGGGGGGCAAAACATCTGACGATCGGACATGAGCTGGACAAGGACAGGGTGAGATTATGGCAAATTCTTTAATTCAGATTCATGATAGTTTTGTTTCAGTCCCTGTTTTTTCCATTTGGATGATGGGTTTGTCTCAGAACATGATGTCTTTGCTACACTTGAAGCTATTACGTCCAATAAAACTCCTGAGCGCACCACACTCCACCCAAAATGTACTGCTTCTTTTTCCAGATTCGACTGCAAATGCAAGGTGCAATGCCGTTCAAAGGAAACTACATTACTTACTACGACTTCAAAACGGTAAAGCGGCAATTACGATCCCCGAGTATAAACGGACTTCTTAAAAATTTCTGTTCAGAATCGTGTCGCCGTCATTGACGAGACGCTGAAAAGCAACAGCAAGATGTGTTTCGTGATGCCACTCGACCGATCGAATTTGCGCGACGCAGACACGATGCGGCGTGCTGCCGGAAGATCAACAAATGTAAGGCATTCTTCTGAATATTCCTAGAAAAATTCGAAATTTGGATTCGAGACCATTTACGCCTGCAGAGAGCCGCCCGGTTCACCGTAGATATTTACTATTACTCTCAGGGTCACCTATGTTGCGGTTGGTCTGTTTGAAAATTTGCGCGACACCCCTTTTTCGGGGGCTTGATACGATTCCCCCCCCCCACTTCTATAAACGTGTGGGTATGGAAAGGTCAACTTACTTATGGATGGAGGATAAATTCTGAGGCGCAGGAGATTTTCGCGTTACCCCTCTTTCTCCAATCAAATAAAATTTCGATGAAAATTGCACATGCACCTGCCTCTTTCGAGGGTCATAACTTTCCTTCAAGTTCGAGTTGTGCGATAGGTGAAAAGATTAGGAAAACTCAAATCATGCTCTCTCCAAAATCGCTGAATATTCTTTGAAAGTTATTTAATAAAAAATTAGCACGTTGGTACTTTTTTCCGTGCAATGCGAGTTTTCAACCTTCAAACGATCACAACTTCCTTCAAATTCATTACATTTGGGAAGCTGAAGCTAGAATGACGAAATTCAGGAGACGACAAAAAGTGTAGAAATTGATAGGTTATCGATTGAAAAATCAATTCCGTCGGGATTTTTGGAGGGGCCCTTACTCAACCGTTTTTGTGAAAACGCGGGTTTTTTAGATTTAGTTGGTCGTACCTTTCTCCAAAACCTATTCCGTGAAGAATTTTGATTCTAGGAAACCACGAGTCTGCGCTTTCGAAAATTCACTAAAGCGCTTGTGGAAATCCGTTTCCTTAAAAAAATTCTTTGTAAAAAAATTTTTCCTTAAAAACTCCATCCGTCGTACTACTGTCATTTTCTTCGTTTCATTCACTCCAGAAACAGTGCATAGTCCTGCCACTGGTAACTCGAATTTAGAGCCCTTTGTACTAACAATCTCTGCCATGGTGTGCGCCGCGCCTGCGCTGTGCTTCCAATTCGCCGATGCATTTCGAAGTCCCCTGCTTAACCCGGTTACGACCCTCTCCCACCTCGCGGACCATATACGACCCCCCTCGTTGGTACTTGTACCAACATACGGTTGACCCCGTTATCAACTCGTCTACCTCCCATACGCGTTGAAATTAACTACCTCCTTATTTACGAAACTGCAGCCATTTTCACAATACATAGGGATTTGCAGAAAACATGGGACCATTAGAAGCGAATCAACTCACCATTTTCAACAAGTCGTTCTAACTAAGGCGTGTTCCTTAGCTCATTAGCAAGATTCATTCTGCATCATTAGCTCCTGCGCGGATAGTTCATATTATCAATATATCTATTGAATCATTGTACTTCAGTGTGTTTGCAATTTTTTGGGCCCACTTTTCTCGACTCTATGCATCATTTGCTCTTTAAAATTTTAATTTGGCGGATTTCCGTTTTCACATGGTTTTTCTCGTATTACAGAAAGAGTCCCAAAGCAAAGGCTGGGATGAAAGTTGGCAATATCTGCCAGCTCCAATGACAACGAACGGTCAAAAAATATTCGATCCACCAATTCCCGAATGTGAAGGTGCTCGATGGGTTCAGTTGGACTACGTGGCCAGTAATCAGAAGAAGTACGTACCTTGAAGCTGTCTTAATCCAGAGCTCTGCTACAATTTCCATATTTTCAGATCGAAAATGCTCTGACTGCTACGATTT